TATATATATATATATATAATGTGTTGAATAAGTTGCTTGTGAGTTGGATAACTGGAAGCATATAGGCAAGCAAATGTGAAGCATGTCATGTGGTATTGATGATAGTTTGGTAACAAAGGAAAGTGAATAGTACATATGGAAACTATTGCTTCTACTAGTTCATAATGTGTTCATTAATAGTCTTGGTTCCTCGTTTCCTTCTAATCAACTTCACATCACATGAGCTGCTCTTGCATGAGACATAAATTTCACTTGCTGCACAGGGTCCTTACTTTTCATCTAATTCATGTATCTAATAATTTTTATTGAATAATAAAATATAAATTCTTATCATACTATTGTTTTATATGAGTAATAAAATTTACCATTTACTAAATTCATACTTCCGTAATCTTCAAAAATGCAACATCTTCTTCGGCGCACAATCTAGTAAAACAACTTTTTGTCTAACGATAAATATTGAATCTCTGTGGATAATATACAATTTTAAATAAAAAACTTGTGGACTAGGCACAAAATCACCAGAACATATATTGTGATGGTTGCTAATAGGTAAATGCCTAAATCTACAAATGAAAATCTAAATGTGTATTGACTTTAGTGACAACCAAAAGTCTTAAAATTGTCATCATTTAGTCACTAAAATTCTAATTATATTAGTTAAGTCCTTAAACTATCAATTTTATCACCATTTATCCATTGAAAAAGGTTGTAGCACATTCAGTGGGTTATCATCTTACATGACATTTCATATAGGCTAATTCTAACCACCTTGGTCTATATGGCGCTAACATGACATACTCATAGATTCTTTTTTTAATTTATTATTTTTATCATTACAATAAAATGACTTATTGCCCTTAGACCAAAATTAATAAAACCTAAATATCTCATGGAGCATTAATGTAATTGAGATAAAGGGGAATAAGAACTTAAGTGTTGAATCAACCCCTAAGACCTCCAGCTTACACCATCGCCGCAACCTCTTGACTAACGCTTACCTTCCCCTCTGGTTACAAACCAATGGAGAACGATCTCCCACCGCTACTCTTTCTCTTCTCTAAGAATGATCCACCTCTCCCCTTCCACTCCTCTTTTCTTTTCCAACAAGAAGTAAGAAACCTCTCTCTCTCATCTCCATTAAGATCTTAAAACAAAACCCTTATAGATTTAATTGCACCCTGAAGACAAATGTTCTCGTTTCAGATTTGAACAATGATTATTGTGGTTATGGATTTAATGTATTCCAATTAATCTAGTTCGACTAATTGATCCAAGCACTATATTTTCTCTGAGCAATCCATTACAAATATGTAT